GCCGGGCGCGGTTGCGGTGACCCCTGGCTCTGCCCGCAGGTCGCAACGAGCTGATCGCTCGCTACATCAAACTGCGCACGGGCAAGACGCGCACGCGGAAGCAGGTGAGGCGTCGCTCTGCGTTCTCTCCTGGGGTGGGCTTGGGGGAACGCGAGGGTGTGCCAGGTAAGCCCGAGAGGGAGTGGTTCTCTGGCGGCATCACCTGTCCTCTGTGCCCCCTCCTGGAGCCACCGTGGCTGCCAGCAGGTCCCTCGTCCTCTGCGAGGAGCTTCACCTGTGAGCGCAAAGCCGCTCGGGCTGCTCTCTCCCAGTATGCCCTGAAATTGGGGGTATGGGGATGGGCAGCACTCAGCCCCACGTCTGGTCGGCTGTGAGTGGCAGGAGCCCCTGAAATCTCTGTCCGGGCAGTGTGTGTGCCTGCGTGTTCCTGCATGGATCTCTTTGCTGCTCCTCCTGGATCCGGAGACTGTTTCTAACTCTGCCCCTTGCTGGGCTTTATGCTGCTTGTGCCAGATGCCACAGTGAAGACATCCCCAAACGCCCCAGGCTGAGAGCAAGGCATTCCCATCCCAGCCAGGGATCCAGGGTAGGACACTGGTCCTGGTGGGGGCTGGAAGTACTGCAGAGCTCTTGCCACAACCTTGGCACCCTGCACGGCTGACAGGGATGCCAACGGGGCAGGCAGCACACAGGGTCGCACCCATCCCTACGAGCCCTTGCTGCACCAAACTTGTCTGAGGACTGGTGTCTGCCGCAGCCCTCGACGGGGCATGTCTGTTTGTCAGTGTCCAGTGGCTCCCCCCTCCCCTCCGTGGTGGCCCCCAGCCAGGAGCTGTGCCACCCATCTTGTCAGAACCAGTGGCCTCGGATGCTGGGGAGCATTTCCCTCTATGGGAAGATGGGTAGGTTTGGGACACTTAGCTGGTATTGTGCTGTGCCATGAAGGACACTGGTCCCCAGACACTGGGAAGGGGACATTTCTTCCTCCAGGACTGATGCTGGAGGAGGAGGGACCAGGTTCTGGCCACTGTCCTTGTGTTCAGACCAGTCCCAAGCAGCACTTTATTTCTGGCTTAAAGACTTGATAGGGCCTCCCTCCATGGGAGAAGGGTGCAATGCTCTGGGGGAACTCAGGAAAGGCATGGGGGAGAGTGCAGATGGCATTGTACCCTGTGTGCAGTCATGTCCTAGAGCCTGGTGTCTCCTCTTGGATAGCCTGGCACTGGTGGGAAAAAGTTAATGTCAAAATCAGCCCCAAAGCCCAGTGGGTGCACAGACCCCCAGGCTGCCTGGGGCTCAGGGCAGGCCCCCCAGACATGATGCACCTTTTCTGCCTGTACATCAAGCCCTGTTTCTTTGGATCCTGCTCCTACAGGGGCCTGGACACAAAAAAACCAACCCTCTTCTCACCTTTCCCACCTGAAAAATTAGCAGGATTGTTGGGGCAATGAGCCAGACCCTCCTCTATCTCCCTGGGACCAGCAGTCCCACTGCAGCCCCTGCTGAGTAACCCAGAGGCACCCCAAGCCTGCCAGGCTGTATCCTCAGCTTACTGTGCTTGCAGAGGCTGGCAGGGTCTGTCTGTCCGCAAGAGATGGTAAACGTGGACCCCTTCAACTACTGCTGCTTTACTCCAAGGATCTTTACCCCAGCCCGGGAGGCACAAATCAGCATCAACCAGTGCAGCATTGGGGTCCCCCCCAGTTTTCCTTTCTCCAGCTCGTGGTGGGCACAGGACCCTCAGCATCTCCAGGAGCATCACCCTGGCAGCAAAAAGTGCTCCCCCATTTCTCCACACTCCCTTCCCCGGGGACAGCATCCCACCCTGCAGGGGAAACATATCTTCACGCTCTCTGTGTTTTCCTTTCTGAACGGCGTGGCGGGCGCTAGGTGTCCAGCCACATACAGGTTCTAGCTCGGAAGAAGGTGCGGGAGTACCAGGTTGGCATCAAGGTACGTTGACGCCCTTGCCCAGGTGTCCGCGGCGGTGTCTCTGTGAGCATGGGCAGCCCCTCTCCTTCCTCCTCCTTTCCTCTGGTTGACGGCTCTGCTGTTCCCCCTCTCCTTCTGCTCTCTCTCTGCAGGTCTCTAGCCACTTGCAGGTTCTTGCCCGACGGAAATCTCGTGAGATTCAGTCCAAGCTTAAGGTACGCGTCCTCCTGCCTCGCCTGGCCCCCCATCTGCTGACATCTAACGCACTCAGCTCTGCGGTGTGCTGCTTGCTTTCCTGTTTTACCTCTCTTTTTTGGTGTTTTTTTTTCTTCCCCCCACTTGGCTCCTGGGACCAGATGGTCTTTAGAGGCATTGTTATGGGATGCTCATAGAGAAGTGCGGGGAGGGGTGACAGACCCATTCCCTCTCCCCCAGGAAGGTGAATTTGGGTGTCAGATCCCTTCTATTCACCGAGGCAAGGACTCCACCATGGGGAAATGTGAGTTTAAACTCTCCTCTGGTGATGCGTGAGGGCTGCTCTCTCTTTTGGGCCAACAGGGATTATCCCAGGAGGGGAAGGACCCCCCCAGAGCAGCCAGGGAAGCAAAATGAGGTTCAAGCAAGGCATGCAAAAGCTCACTCCTCTCCCCAGCTGAGACCTGACCCTGCTCAGGACAGGTGCCTGTAGGATGTGGGCAGAAACAGAGTGGTCCTGGGGATCCCTGCAGGCTGCCAGCCCAGTGGCTTGCAATGCACCAGGGGGTGAGTATGGCCCAGAGGCACCTCAGGGATGAGTGGCAGCAGGTTGAGATGGGGTCATGCTGCCAGGGAGCAGGGCACAGTGGTGCTGTGGCAGCCCACAGTTCCAGGAGCCAAGGGAGCTGAGTGAGGCAAAACTGAATCATTCTCTCTCTCTTCTCCAGTTGGCTTTTCTTTCCTTCCTTCCTTCCTTCTTTCCTTCCTTCCTTTTCCCTTCTTTCCTTCCTCCTAACTGGAGCCTGACTAACCCTTCCATAACCGTTCCCACCAAGCTTGGTGGTGGTAGTGGGGAGGGTGATGATGGGGGGTGTGGGCAACACCAAAGGACCAAGCTCTGCTTGGGTTGGACCTACATAGTGCAAAGTGGGGGACAGAGCAGTCTCCACTGCAGGACTGCCCACTGGGGACAGCTGGCTCCCAGGATGTGCCTGGGTTAATCCGTGCACAATCACACCAGGGAGCATCTCCTGGGCAGCTCCAGGGGCGACCTGCTGCCTTGCTGGGAGTATGGGGGCCCAGAAAACCGTTGAGGCCCCTGAGCTCAAGGTCCCAAAAGCATTGCCAGCTCCCCCTGTCCTGGGTGCTGTGTCCATCTCCAGCTGGCAGTGAGGGCCACTGTCAGAGCAGGAGCTGGCATTTTCGTCCTTGAAGCTTTAAAAGGCTACCCGGGAGTCCACCAAGCTGTGCCCTCCAAAGTCCTTCAGCAGGGACCATGGTGTCCCATGAGTGGGGTACCAGGAGGGCTCCCACACTCCCACAGGTTTGATCTGCTTAGAGAAGTCAGGAGAGGACACCTGAAACTATTTTGGAAGGCTACTCTGGGCTTGTATGTCTTTTAAACCCAGCTCCCAACCCCCAGAAGGGGCAGTCAGGCAGATGAGGGGGGCAGCAACAGCAGAAGCCTTTACAAAGTTAAATACTAAATAGGCTTTCCTTGCCGCACGGCACAGTGCAGGGCGAGGGGG